ACATAAATATCCTTACTACATAACAATTTCTAGTAACCACAGACCAAGGAAAATACATACACGCCCTTAAAAAACAGGTATGGTTTGTACAGTTGAACTAGTCGTGTCACCCTTTTGATTTTTTTGTAGCTATCCTCGTAAACATCTCGAGAGCATTAACAAAACGCTTCGTTCACCAAATTTAAGACCTAAATATAAGCAAAGATTTTATGGAAAACATTATAAATATGTATGATTATAGTTTTTGCTTCATTCTATAGTTAAACTTGGTATTCGACAAACCTTTAGTGGCAAAACATATCGGACTGTCATGAGAATGTCGAAAGCAACCCTACTTGATATCAAAGTTGGCTTGGAAACTGTTATTGGCTTTCCAATTTTGTTTCTGATGATCGGGAATTTAGTGAAATAACGATACATGAAATCACGAACATCGGCAATTCTGAATAGATTTCTTAACGATGATGAAACGTGGTAGATGAAATTCTTTGCAGCTTCATTTGAACAAGCAACAATTGCTGTCATCATACAATTGACAACCATGTCCGCAGGTATCTGCACCATATAGCAGTTAGTATAAACAAAATCATGTTGTAAGTATGTTTACACCAAAAATGTTTTCCAAAACAAACTTGTGCTTTTTAGACGTTGAATGATAAGTAGTCTAAACTTTTGGAGTTTTATTCTTCAAATAATCATGTATGTAGGTATATCCATTAATATAAGCGAAGTAAATTTAAAATAGTTTAACTTACTGTATCCAAAATTGTCTTGGGATGACCAAGAAAGCTTGTTATTTTCCCTTGACCATAGCTGCATATTATGCTGTCCAGAGTTCTGTAAATACAAAATACATTCATTAACTTATAATTCCTCGTCAAGAGCATATATAGGTCTAACAAAATCTTCAACATAATGCAGTAAACTCTGTAAGTTTAACTTTAAGTTGAACTGATAAATAATTAAGAGTTTATTTTGTTGTCTAGATGTTAGGTATTTCAAGTGAAGACATAAGAGAAATTCGACTATAGTTAATCATGAACAAGTTTATACCTTAAGCCTTCAATCCAACCAGGAAATGGGTCCTTAAGGGTACTGGTAACCATGGTGGGACGTATAATGATTAGTGGAAAATTATCTTTGTGATGAACCACTTGCATTTCTCCCATTGCTTTTGTGAATGTGTATGTGTTTGGCCAACCATACAACTTTGCTCTGATACATCACAAAAAAATAATGTCATTTATAGATCAATGAATATATCCAAAAGAATAAGAATTTGATGTACCTTTCAATTCCGTAATCTTTCATTACATATTTGATTGTGTTTTCAGTAGCATTCTCTGATCGGATTTCATCGATTTTCTTCTTCAGCAAATTCATTTCTACAGTGATGTCTAATTTCGAGGTCTCTTTCAGGGTCTGACCCATCTCAAAGGGTTTCTCTTGCACAATTGTTTTTCTATCCTTAATCTCTCCACACACATATTCTGACATATTCATTCATACCAAAAGATGTATTATGAATGGAAATTAGCGTAATCTTAAGTGAACAACGTTTTGGTAAATATAGTAATGTAAGTTATAGTTAACTACAATTACCAGTTGATGTATGCACAAAAGCCTTTATCTGACGACAATTCTTTGCGAAGTTTAAGACATGTAAGGCACCCATCGTATTTACACCCATTAAGATGTCAAATCTGTGGACAAAATGAATCCAAAAATGTCGAATTTATTGGAGAAGCAAAAGTTGTCGATTATTCCTAATAGATAATGTACCTTTCGTCAAATTTAGTAGATGCTGCAAAATTCACAACAACGTTAAACATCTTACTCTTAAGCTTTTCATCTTTCAGACCAAAGTTATGGAGAGAAACATCACCCCATTGGTTCCGTAACACTCAAAATAAATCTGTCAGAATCACCTATGACCATTGTTTCAATTGTGGGATTGAGTCATTGGACACCTTCACAATTTGTCCTTTCTTGCCGTTTGGAGGTGTACATGTTAAAGGTGCTCCGATACCAAATTCAGTAAGTGATTCGTCCGGTAATCCAATACGACAATGTGATGGTAATAAATATACAGTAAATGCGATCACCTACCTCTTATCTTTGACTTATATTTATAGTTTTTGGGTGTGGGCTAGGATTAGCCATATTTTAATCTAAGTCCAACCCTGGTCCAATACCCTTAAACATGATTTACCTTAATCTTCATAGGATTAGTCATTCTCTGTTGTAGTGTCGTCCGTCCTTGCCGGGCGTCCCTATGAAAGCTATTTTTGACCGACCGGTCATACGATACACTAGGTCCCCCAAGCCCTAGTCAACGTAGGTGACGTTGGGTTTAAATAGTCGTTGGCGGTTTGCTTAGAGGTCGGGCGTCCCTGACGATCTTTTTGAATGTAACATTTGGGCGGGAAAACACGTGTCGCAAGCTTATGCGGCCTCCATCTCAGGTAGTGGAAACGTCGCTCGATCTGGGTCGTTGGTCGTGGTTGATCTCAATGGCTATCATGAAGCGACGGTTTTCAAAAAAAATTCTATAAGTAAGGGTGCCAGGGATCGCCATTTTCATTCTTTACTCTTTCTTACTCCATACCGTTGGGTGCATTCTTTTTCCAAGGTAACTTAATAATGTCTGCTGTTAGTATTTCTTCGTCTGAGGAGTCGGCGGGCCAGGGTGGAAGGGGTACGGTAGGTGGCGACGTTCGGTCTCCAAGCTCTGTGTCGTCTTCTCTACTCGAGAGGTCTGATCGGAGGGAGGAAGAATCAGTGTCGGGGTCGCCTATCTACGGTGGAGAGATGGTTATAAACGGGGTTTCTCTCTTTCTTCTGAAGGGTGGCGTTCGGATCGACCGGGAGGACGCGAAACCTGCTGGTGGTTGGCCGCGTATCAGGGGGTACGATTGGGCCTCTCATGATGTAAGTACCTTTGTCTCGGACTACGGAACTAGGGAAGAGCTCCAATGGTGGGCTGACCGGTCACACATAGCGCGAGACGCGAAGGACACTTGTTTGTTTCGCCTTGGAGTGAGTTATCGGAACGAGCGGGTTTTTCACTGGAAGGGACTCAGCCAGGAGGATTTCTTCTTTGTGTACACCTATATGTTCAATCAGTTGTTCGTTCGGGTGTCGTTCATAGCTTTCCAGGCGGCCATCCTGCGGGAGTTGAACGTTGCCCCATCTCAACTTCATCCTAACGGTTGGGCCGCTATACAAGCTTTTGTGACGATGCGTGCTGCCATGGGGATTACTCCTACCATGCTGGTCTTCCTTCATTATTTTAATGTTCGGCCCTTGGCGAGACGGGGATGGGTATCGCTTTCATCCGTCGAAAATCGCACCCTGTTTAGACCGTACTCAGAGTCGTTCAAAAATTTCAAGAAACGATACTTCAAGATAATAATAAGGGACGTCGGTCAGTCCGAATTTCATGACAAGAAGGCCTCCCCCTGTTCCCCTTTTATTGGACGGAGAACCCTCGAAAAATAAACGCGTTGTTAAGACCTCGGCAAGTGTACCGAATCGTATCAAGTAATAATAATTGGTAAGACCAAGTATCATTTCCCAAGAGACTCACGGCACTCAACAGTCATGTAATTACTTAACTACTTAAGACTTTGAAGAACAATTTTAGGGTTTTGAATGCAAAAACAAGAAAGTAAATATGAACGCACTTTTTGATCAATTGAAGAAAAACACAAAAAGATGATATTGAAAATATGAGATGACTATGTTGTTGGGGTCTAGATTTCACCTAGTTACTCTCATGCATATATGAATTCATCTTCTTTGTTAATGTTAATATCACTTTCTAAATTACTTAAAATTCAATGTCTCGGCGAAGAAAGTCTATCCTTAATTACTAGATCACAATGTCTTGTATCCTAATAATTAATTTTGCACTACGATTATAAGCTTAAGATAGACAAAACTCATATTTCCATCACTGAGCAATATTGCTTTTGAGAGAAATACTCCAGATCTAGGTTTCTCCGTATGTGTCCATATCACGAAAACCAATAATCATATGTCATGAATGAGTTAAACATAACAAGCATTGAGCAAAGAAGAATAACCTTAACAATTAATGCAAGAAGCATATATCAATTAAAACCAATTCAAATACATGAGAGTTCACAAGGTTACATCATCCCCCAACAGCAATTTGAATTTAGTTCCCCCTTGTCATGGAGAAACTAGATGAACAATTGAATAAGAATGAAAGATAAACCCTAAAAATCGAAGAGGAGAGCTTCCGCATCCAATTCTGCCTCCAGAGAGTTGTAAAAATCTGAATTTGTGTCAATTCTGTCAAAAGATACTCCATCTAGGACGTCCAAGTCCTTATATACAGCTGAATTGGATCATGGGCCAATGTTGACACCGCTCAGCACCCCAACTTAGGGTGCCTAGGCGAGCTTACGAGAGCAGTGCCGCTTAGCGCCCTAGGAAGGGTGCCCAAGCGTGAAACGTTACAAGAAGACTGGCGCTCAACGTCCTTGAAAGGGTGCTCAGGCGTGTTGCGAGACATCCTGCGCTGAGGGCCCCATAAAAGGGCGCCCAAGCGTCCTACGACCTTCAGTAGCCTTCTCTTCTAGTGCTCTTTTTGTCCTTTCTGAGTTCCAACTTCTTGACAATTTAACTCCTCTTCCAATTCATCCCAGTTTCCTACAAAATCAAGAGAATTTAGTGATAAAATCTTCAAGTATAATCTCAACTCTCTTATTCACCAAAATAAGCTAAAAACAAGAGAACAAGCAAGTTCCTAAGTCAAAAAGGGTTCTTTTATTATCAAAATTTAATCCCAAATAACGGTGAAATCAACCATTATCAGTGGGCGATCGGTCGAATGAATCTGGAGGAGTTGGAAGCCGTGAGGATCATAAATACCCTGCCCCACTGCCTTAGTGCCCGCGGCTTTGTTGAGTGTTTGGGTCATGAGGATTTTGACCAAATGACGTTTGGTATGGTGTGTTCCATGGGTTTGCTTGTTGTTTTGTTGTATAACTTAGCAAAATTTTTGTTATCTTTGCTATCTGTGATATAATTTTGATATTAAATCAACCCTTTTTGGACTTAGAAGCTTTCCTGAACTCATGTTTTTTGTACAGTTTTGTGAATAAGTGAGTAGAGGGTATACTTGATGATTTTATCACTAAATTCGCTTGATTTTGTAGGTTATTGGTATGATTTGGAAGAAGAGAAAAAGTATCAAGGAGTTGGAATTCAAGAGGGACAGTCAAAGCATCAAAAAAGGAGCACAAGAGGTCACGCAGGGCGCCTGGGCGACCCATTATGGGCGCCTGAGCACCAGTTTTTATAGTGCAGGGCACTTGGGCGCCCTAGAAGCGCGCTTGAGCGCCAACTTTGTACTGTGGGCGCCTAAGCACCTTAGAAGGGTGCTTGAGCGCCAGTTTTCTCCCGCACAACGCCTCGACGCCTCACTTAGGGCGTTGAGAGCCAGCGAAGTGGGCTTGGACTTGTTTTATATTATTTTTTAGTTCTATTTAAGGACTTGGACGTCCTAGGGATTTATCTTTTGATGGCTTGAGCACAAAAACACACTTTTCACCCCTTGGAGCAAGATTTGGGGATGTGGGAGCTCTCCTCTTCAGTTTCTAGGGTTTTTCTATATCTTTCATTCCATTGTTTATCTAGTTTCTCCATGACAATGGAGAACTAAACCTTATTTGTTGTTGGGGAAGATGTAACCTCTAAACTCTCATGTATTTGAATTGATTCTTATTTATTTATGATTCTATCATTAATTGTTAGGGTTATTCTTCTTTGCTCAATGCTTGTTATGTTTAACTCATTAATGGAATGATTATTGGTTTTAATGATAAGGACACATACGGAGAAACCTAAATATGGAGAAATGCTCCCAAAAGAAGTATTACCTAGACATAGGGATATGAGTTTTGGTTATCTTAAGCTTTTGTGTGTATGTAATGCAAAATTAATTGTTAGGGAGACAAGACATTGTAAACTAGTAATTAAGGATAGGCTTTCTTCACCGAGACATCGGGTTTTAAGTAATTTAGAAAGTGATATTAATATTAACGAAGAAGTTGAATTCATATATGCATGAGAGGAAACTTGGTGAAATCTAAACCCCAACAACATATTCATTGTGTTTAGCCTCAATTGACCAAATTGCATTCATGTTTATTTTTATTGCATTTGCATTCAAAACCTCTAAATTGTTCTTCAAAAGTCTTAATTAGTTCAGTAATCACATAATTGTTTAGTGTTGTGAGTCCTTTGGGAAACAATACTTGGTCTTACCATTTCATTATTACTTGATACGATTTGGTACACTTGCCGACATCTTAACACGGACGGCCTCTTCTAGCTTGCCCTCGACATCTGCCAAGGGTCGTCCTATGGTTCCTCCCCTCGATAGGGTGATCGTGGCTGTGGCACCTCAGCCAAAGTGGTCGACCTAGAGCGTTCCGCGGAGGCTGTCGGGGCCGCCACGGTCTCTCCTTCCACCGAAAAGAAGAGGAAGTCGAAGGAAGGAGAGAGATCTTCCTTGAAGAGGAGTCGTCGGGAGGGAAGCGTGCCCCGCCCTATTCCGGCCGGCGTTTTCGACCCTGATTTTCACGCCGATGGCCGCGTGAACTTTCACATGAGGACCTCCCAGCGTGCCGTCATTGAGCAGATGTCCGAGGGGGATCTTATCAATGCCGCCCTAGAGCTGACCACCTACGGGGCCATCTTGACCTGGTGTGCCCTATTAACACTCGGCAAGGTTACCAAATCGTATCAAGTAATAATAAAATGGTAAGACCAAGTATAGTTTCCCAAAGGACTCACGACCTAAAAAGTTATGTGATTTCTTGATTAAATTAGACTTATAAACAAAATCTTTTAGGTTTATATGCAAATACTGATAAGTAAATATGAATGCATGTGTTGATCAATTGGATTGAAAGATGCAAAAGAGATTGATGTAAAATATGAATGAATATGTTGTTGGGCTTTCCGACTCATCC